CCTCCCCTGGGACCTACGGGGGTCCCGGTGGGGGGGGGGTGACCTGGTCCCTGCTCAGAAAAATGGAGGCAAAGAAATTGTTAAATAGGTTAGCTTTGCTGTCTGGTGTGACAACCAGATTTCCTAGCGTGTCCTGCAGAGGCCCCACTTTACCCAGTACCTTCTTTTTACCCCCTATATATTTAAAAAAAGGATTTCTTGTGGTCCTTGATCTGGGTTGCTAGTCCCAGTTCCATCTCTGCCTTGGCCTTCCTGACCACCCCGCTACAGCCCCGAGCAACCAAGGTATAGTCCTCCCTAGTTATGGCCCCTCCCTTCCATTGGGTGTATGCCTCCTTTTTAGCTAGGAAACATTCCTGTATGCTTTTAGGAAGCTAGGAGGTGGGAGCGGTGAGCACTTGGGGGAGCTTCTGCCCCTGCCCTGGGGAAGGGACCCCCTAGGTCCCTAGGGGGGAGCACCTGGGGTCCCCCTGCAGCTGATCACCAAGTTGGTGGGGCATGGGGGGACTTCCGGTCCACTTCCAGGTCCAGCGCTGAGCACACGGGGGCCCCCCTGTGCTTCTGTGGGATGCCCCATCCACCCCACCATCTCAGCATTCACAAGCTGCGCCTAGTACCTCAAGGTATGTAGAAAAAACATTTAAAGCTGTGTCTACGACTGAAGCACTGACTCTCCGAATCAGTATCAAACCTTCAGATTTGGATTCGGCCGAATTAAATTGGGACAGTGATCCAAATCAACAAATCGAATTACTGTCCCCTGATTTGGGCCAAATCCAAATCAAATATGGCCTGTTTCACACACCCCTACTGTGCAGCTTTTTAGCTTTAAATTGTGACTGCTCCAAGCTTGAGCTAGCACTAACACTGGTCATCATTTGAGCAGCTCAAAGTGCCATGTGTAATAAGGCTCTCAGTCTGTACGTTATGGTGTATCATAGGCCAAACATGTTGTCTATTTGATCACAGTGTAAGACCACCCAGAATCGAGAGTGTGATAAAGTAGTATTGCTTTGTTTTTTATTTCATTTCTGGTTAGTTGTTTTTTCAGTTGAGGTATGAATCAATTTCTGTTTGAATTTCTTTTTACCTGATTTGTTAAATTAAGTAAAAGCCTCTTGACTGATTCATATTTTTTTTTCCTAAAAAAGAAAAAATGCAAATCTATAATAATAATAGGCTTATTCTATCTGTCTGGAGCACTCTTATTGGTTATCTTGGCAGCCAGTCATAATGCTTATTGAAACAACCAATTGAGTGCTCTGGACAGACAGAATAAGTGAGTTATTATTATAGATCCTTAGGCATTTCAAACAGATAAGCAGGCGAGTCAGGGCTAGAATTAATCAATAGCAGCCTCCGCTGTGGAGCAAGCAGGCTCCACTGAAAGAAAAAAAAAGTGGTGAGGGGCCTGATCCTTTTTCTTTTCTTTTTATCCCCCTCAGAGCCTGCCCACCTCTCCTCTGGCTGGGGGGTGAGCTGCAGGTGGCCCTGAGCTACAGGGGGCTCTGGTGCTTCCCTTCATGGTAGTGACACCCCCCAGGACCTCCTGGCTGGGGTGCCAGCAGGTGGGTGCTGCCCAGGGGGCTCTGCCGTAGAGAGAAGCACTGGGATTCCCTGCAGCTCAGGGGCTGCACAACCAGTCAGCAGCTAGTGAAAGAGAGACACAGGCAGGCTCCAGAAGAAAAGAAAATTCAGGCCCCTTGCCACTTTATTTTTCCTCAGCAGAGCCTGCCACTGGGTCACACAGCCCCTGAACTGTGGTGAGGGGCCCAGAGCTTCCCTCTACAATGGCAGTGCCCCCCAGGGCTTCCCAGGCAGGGTGCTAGCTGTGCGAGTGTGGCCCCGGCTCACAGGCAGCACCTGCCAGATCCAATGGTGCACAGGGCACTGGAAGCCCAGGCGTGCTCGAGGAAGCTCGGTTCTTGGCAGACTTCCAGTGACCTGTGCGCTGTCCCTGCCACCTTCCTGCTGCCTGGGACCATCTGGAGACCAGTTGGCTACCCTGGGAAGGTGGCAGGAAGGTGTCTGGGTGTGCTGGCAGGCAGAGAAGATGGTAGGGACAGTGCACAGGGCACTGGAAGCCCACCAAGCCTAAGCTTCCTCAAGCATGCATGAGCTTCCAGGGCCCCATGCACCACCCCATCGCCTTCTCCAGATCGGGCCCTTGTACATGTGAGGAATACTGCTGTAACTCGTTATGTAGCAAACTAAAATACATGGGATGTGTTTTAGTTTGCTACGTAAAAAAGTCATTTAAATCAAAATAAGTGTCAAACGTGGACATTGTTACACAATTAAATCATTTAAAAAAGAGCAATTAAACCACTAAAACATGCCATTTCCTCACATGTACAAGGGGCCTTAGTCACATGTACAAGGGCCCTCTTATTCTATGACTATAGACAAGTCACAAGGTCAGAGTTTTGACAAAATATGTATTTATATTCCTAAGCCTGTTTTATACATGGACCGCTTTATGTAGCCTTGTCAAGGGTGAGAAGTTTTGATTCCATTAAAGTATTCAGTCAAAGGATAACTAAAAATCCTGCATTTAAAGAAATACTTTTGCAATAAAAAATTAATCACAAATGTTTTGCAGGTTTCAGCTAGTAAATACATAAAAATCTGGGGAAGCTTGTGTTGGTTACATTCTACAAATTGACTGTTATAGATATTTTAGCTGTTAGCATGAGAGATGGATAGCGGTTTCAAGTCATCTAGTCAGTTATTGTGGAAAAAAAATGAAAAGGTTAGTCTATGGCCAGTAAAGCATCTCATGTACACACACTCACTATGTGTTTGTCTGCCACTTGGAACCATAATTTGGGATACCTCAGTACTTTTGAAATATAAATGGGGTGTTCTAATAAGGCATTAGGAAACATCCCTCTATAGTAAACCACAATAAAAAGAAAAACAAAAAACAATAAAATCTGCTTGGGATGACTGAGTCTCAAGCATAGGAACATAGTTTAAATTTTAAAGGGCAATGTTATAGCCTTCTCCTTTGCCTCATTTTTTCATATGTTTTAATCTACTGAGATTCACATATCCTTCATTGCACGCCCTTAGCAGCTAAGGGTGGTGCTACCAGAGTACTAGGGGATCTGTGGTGGGTGTACTTGTGACTGAGGAAGCCAATGCAACCTTTTCCACAAGTCCCACATTTCATCACATCCTGTAAAACTGTCTCTTAGTGCTGATGTGTCTTTCCCCTTATATCCTTTTTTGGCTTATTCTCACATCATAAATGTTTGAAATGAATTAGGCTTTTCTGTACCTTGGTGCCTCATTGCTGCCAATCAGTAACAAGAGATTCATATTGATCAGCTGGTATGCTTTTGATTTGTACCAGATACCACTTAAAAGTATTCTTAAAATGCTTCCTAGGGCAACTGTTTCCTCTTCCTAAGCTGTAGTTTACTACATGGCTACTGCTTGGGCATTTGAATATTATCATGCTGGACTACATATTCAGTCCAGTACAGCTGAGCCTTCCGTTAATGCTGCCATATTCATGCAATTGATGTGTTACAAAACCTCAACACCCATCCCTTTATCAGTATGCACCTGTTAAGCAGAAGCAAGATACACAGGAATTTTTCATTTAGTCTCTCCCAAGCTGCTGAGTGTGCTTTCTGTATACCAGCCAGACCTCATAGCCACTCAGAAGTGTCATTGCTATCACTGCTTTGTTGACCTTCAGTTTAGTAGGTAGTCTGATATCCTACTGAATTCAAACCCTCTTACTGAGCTTGCCAAAGCCATAATAACTTTCTAAATATGAAAACTTATTTCCATGTAAATACAGGTCCACTAGACTGCTTTTGAGATGGAACAGAAAATGAGATCTTTGTTGCCAGGGAAATTCAGAAAAAGTGCCTGGAACAAGATCTCTAGTTGACCTCCATAGACACCTCCAGGTTTGCAGCTTAATAAAGTAGCTCAGCTCTCTTGAAAGTTTGTAGCAGTGCTTAACTAACTAGATATAGGAAAATATATTCTTTTATTCTTTGCTCCTCTAGAAATGTCTGTGGAGTATTTCTTGGTCCTTCATACTGGTGTTTGACAGTTGGCTCTGAAGTGTCAGTCATATTTTCAAAAGGAACATTTTTAGAGTAGGGTAAAATTAAAATGTCTTTGAGATTTTGGGTGATGGTAAGATTTTAGAAAAATATTTCATAACACAAGCAATTCTGTTAGTCTAAATTCTGATCAAGTGCCAGAGCCATTTGTAAGAAAACAATTTTCTAAATATTACCAAAAACTATGTGCACTAGTACTGACAGATGGCTTAAGATAGACATTAAAATGGTCCACTTTAACAGTTTATGTTGGATTTGGTCACTGTTGTTGTTTTTAGATTAATAAAAGGAAAGTAAATGAAAAAAATGAGTGCATTGTCAAGTAAGACATACAAGATATATAATGTACTGATGTATTTCCAACTTTATTACATAATACTATGTAGAGTGATACGGTGGAAATTATACATTAAATAAATTATTCTGAACATCAGGGAAATGACTAGACAGTAGTGTAAAATCACTGCAATCAAGATATGTTAAAATCTATGTAAAGTGTTTGAAAATAATAGTTTAAACATCCAGGACAATCCAAACCTAAATTAAAACAAGTTGGATACTTAGATGTACGTAAGGGTCTGACCCTTGCTTAAAGATTGTTCCAATGGAACTCTAAGGAATCTTTATAAAAGTGTTCCTTGCTTTTGATACCATTCGGTGATGAAGTGGCTTTCTCCATCTCCTCAATATTGAGTATTGCTGCTCTCTAACTTCAGACTTATAGTTACTCTGATTGTTAAAGTCTCCCCTCTAGACAGTTATATTTACAGTTTATTTTCTCATGCTTGGTAGATGGGAAAGCATCTACCAAGCCTGACCAATAACATGATTTTGGCTGGTAGGAACAAACTGTTGAAATATGAGGCAATCTCCCATCTTGCTGGGGCTTTAGTCCAGCAAGCTTACCCAGTGAATTGGTTTCCCTTGCTTACACAAAATGGAGGCCTTGGTTCCTGTAACTGTTATTAAATAACATTATAAAAAAAATATAAGAGAATAAAGTATGGCATATTGAACATTTGTTTGGCTCCTGTAAATTAGTTACTTAGGTCCCTGCCAGACATACAGGTAAAGGCCTAATGGGATCTGATGCGTGATCCACACAATTGTACTTCCTGCCATTCCACACATATGGCAGAAGGAGTGATTGTGGGATCATGCATCAGATCCCATCATGCTTTTTTCCTGGTGCAGGAGGAGTCTGGATACACAACCTACACTCCCCCCTGCACTATGTATCAAGCTCCTGTGGCTAGGAGCCCCCTCAGTTGATGGGGCTACCAGACAGAAGGGCATACCTGGCCATACGTTCAATTAATGGAGTAATATGAACTAGCCACAAAGTTATTCCACATTGTATCACACCATTAATTGTTTGAACATGTGGCTAGGTTAACTAGTTAATAACATCTTAAGTGTAACATGGAGCAGGGCCTTGGGTTACATTAAAAGTTGCCTATGCTGCAGGATTATATATTTTCCCATTGCATAGCTGGGCAAATGCTACTAATTTATGATAATTCATACCACTAAGAAGGAATTTAATTTCTCTCTAAATTTTTTTGAGAAAGAGAACATCACAAGCAGACTAATTAAAAAAACCCTTGTGCCATCGCTGGTGACCAAATGAAGGTTCTCTGTTCCCACAAAATAGAAAACAAGAGGTTGTTGTATATGTTAGCATTTTGGATGACTCACTGTGCTCTTTCCAGGTTGATCTACACTTCATGAAAAAGATACCTCCTGGGGCTGAAGCTTCAAACATTTTAGTTGGAGAACTAGAGTTCCTGGATCGTGCTGTAGTTGCTTTTGTTAGGTTGTCCCCTGCAGTATTGCTTTCTGGGCTAGCTGAAGTTCCAATTCCAACAAGGTAAGTATTGATCGGTCCTCCTTCATTTTCCTAAAGTGTATTACTTGGAGCTATAAAGCAGGATGATCCTTCAGCTTTGTTGTTTATCAGGTGATGAACTGGATTACTACCTTATAACAGGTGCATCTTTCCTGCCTTTTTAAAAGTATGTGTACTTGGGTGTGTTTTGGAACTTGAGGCCTGTTGGTCAATGTTGTGTTTCTTCCTAGAAGTAGAAGTTTATGTGCCAATCCTTGTATGGTCCCTGAACATGGCTTAAGAGCCTCAGCACCTCTGGTAAACAACTGAAAAAGAGAGAATGGAAATTCTTTCCAGCATTTATATATTGCACAGCCCCCCTGTTATCCTGTTTTGTCCTTTTCTTTCCTGTGTCACAGCTTATTTCTATCTTCTGTTCCCTCTTTCAGAGGAAGCTAGGAAAGAGAGGAAGAAAAACTTCTAGGGTTTTTTCATGAGAATAATTAATATTTTATTAAAACTAAAATGGGTGGAGATGTCCAGGAAAACTAATCAATGACAGTGTTATCAGAATAGTAAGAATTACATAATAGTAAACAATTTAGGTATTAATGAGAATTCAGAAGCCCTTGAATATTGTGCAAATATTTGGGAAGATTGAATATTTCCTTGCTAAGGCCAAATTGTGGCCCATATACAGAGGCATCATGGGGACCAAAATGGTAATAAGGCACAGTCACTCCATTTATTTTCTTACACAGTTGAAAGGAATTGTGGCCTTATCCCACCAATGGATGCACCAAGGCACTGGAGAATGTCTCCTATGTAGAGATAAAACAGGAGCCATTTACTTTCCTAAGCAGAGGAGGAACCAAGAAGGAAACTGATTCTCACTTATGTTACCTTTCTGGACAACGCAGCAATGATCAAATATTTACTCTGAGTTTATGGCAAAGGCCACAGTTGATTCCTGCCCCTGGCATTCATGACACAGTTGCTCTGTTCATTAGTCACTTTTTGCCAGTTTTAAAAATTTGAGGAAGAATAAACAAAACCATGCGACTTAGGTGAACATTCAAACCTCCAAGTAGTAAATAAGTAGGTTGAACAGTTTGAATGCTCCATTGATGGTGAAACATTTTATATAAATGTTTGGTGAATATTAGTAGAACTGGGTGAGATTTTTCTGCTGAAACATAGTTCATTGGAAAATGCCAATTCATCTCAACAAAAACTTTTTGTCAAAATACATCAATTTTAAGGAAACATCTGTTAGGAGATATATTTTCTTCAGGATGCAAGTTTGGTCAGAGAGAAAAGAAACACCTCCAGAAAAGCTAGTTGCCCAGTAATTTGAGTATCACCTGGGATACAGGAGACCAGAGTTCTAGCTCTGCTGTGCCAGACTAAAGCTATAAGCAGATATTGTTCTTGGAGCAGGATCATTTGTTCCAGAATGTGCCCCAGCATAGTTGATTGGCTTCATTGGGTGGCACAGATGTCTCCTCTTGTCCCAACTCGGGGCACGGGAGAGCAATACATGTGCCTAGCGAATCTCCTGTTGGGGGGGCTAGCGTGGCACAGTTCTGCAAGTGGGGAAACTTGGGCAGATGCTCCTGGGGTTTCAGAAACCCAATCTTGCAAGGGCATTCCTGGGGTACGCAGGATGAGACTCCTGAAGCCCTGGGAGCTTTGGGCTACACATGCTCTCCTGCCATAAAGCAGACAGACATCCATCATGTAAAAGGAAACACAATGTTTACCACCTATTTTTGTGTCCACAATTCTGAGCATTTGTGGCATGACAAGGGTCAGGGACAGCTGTTTGCTTGGACTTTTTGATGCCGTAACTTTTTTTATGGCAGCATAAAGACAACATCTGATTGCAGCATAAGATGTGACTGTAGTTTTCCCATATCCCAGATGAGTCGTGAGAAACCTTTTAAGAATGCCTATTTTTATTCAGAAAATGTTTCAAATGACAGATTCTGACTATAAGAATCCTGATTATTACCCAAGTATATTCATGGTAAAATATTCCACAGTCCAAACTTTGATGATAAGCATTTGGGGTATGAAATAGAGGGGATTTAGTATGCAGTTAAAATAATAACAAAAGGCAATGGGTGTTATTTTTCTACCCTACATAGTGTTGTGCACATGCATATTTGGGATAACTTCCATAATATTGCAAGAGTGATACATATGAATACATTGAACAGCTATCTCTGTCAAAGGTATTTTTGCATGAAACTTTAGGATTATCTATGTGGGTTTAGTTCATAAGGAAATTTGAGTTCAAACAACCCAGTCCAGCAACAAAGCTCATTATATACATATGTTTCTGGGGTAAATTTCAATTTTTTATGTCAACATATTTAAATTATTGTGTAAGGATCCTCTGAGGCTGGTTATTTTTTATTATTTTGTTGACACTATTTCTTGTGGTTAAAGTTTTAATGAATGGTTTTGTTTTTACATTAAGCTATTTCAGCTTTTCATTCTTAAAATATTTTGGTTTTGCCTTTTTTGTAGGTTTTTGTTTATTCTTTTGGGACCACTGGGAAAAGGCCAGCAGTATCATGAGATTGGGAGATCAATTGCAACACTAATGACAGATGAGGTATTCATTATATACAACTCTAGATTGTTTTTTTTTCCTCCTGATATTTCAAACTGAAGATAATGTAGGACCAAAAGGTTCACCTGATTTTTGTTCTGTCTTTCCTTTCACAGTATTAAAGTGTAACCAAAGATAGGATTTGACTCCACAAATGGAAAATAGTTAATCTTTTTTATGATGTGGAAACAGCAACAGGATCCAGTTCACAATTGCATAGCTGAACTGGTTACAGGAAAAAAATAGGAATGACTTGAGAGACATTTCACCCATAGGGTATATACAGACATTTGGGGTGGTTTGGGAGAGGTGGATGACATTACAAATGGCCACTTGATTTAACTTATTTCACCCAGGTGTGAACCTTACACTTTGGGTGTAAACAGGAGTGCAGCTCCCAGCTGTAACTCAGAATGATTTTTGCAAAGCGTTCTGAGTTGCAACATTACCCTGGACCAAACAGAAGTTCACTCTTGGTTCCAGGGGAGAGGGAAATCTAGCTGCACTGTGAGCCTGCAGTCAGGTTCCCATAGCAATGGCCAGGCTTTCTGCCAGTGCTCACTGTTGTCAGAATGGGAGCAGTGAAAGGCAGTGGAGGGAGCTCATTCTTGGGGCTCCCCAGCTGGTGCTGAAGGGTGGGGTGGGTGAGTTGAGTCCCCCCATCTTGGGGGGTGGGGAAGGGCTGCAATACACCCACCCCACCCTCCAGGGGACTGAAAAAATCCCAAACTGAACTCACTCTGCTCCCTTTCCCCCCTCCCATTCTGAAAACCGTAACAGGCTGGGAGCTTGGCAGACACAAGTTACAAAAGAACTACATTTTGTAGTATCTTTATCCAATACCTCATGCAATGAGGGGGTCAGATTTTCACCCAATTGGCCATTTTTTAAGCTGTTTGGAGCCGTGCACTTGTGTTTGGTCACAGCTATAAACTTTTTTTTGTGGCCAGATCAGGCAAAAATTATCACTTTTGTCTGCACCCTTAGATACCACCCTTAGTGAGGTAGATCTAACTGTGAACTGTACAGAAGAAGTTCAGGACAGTTAAACTGGTCTAAAAATGGATGATCCAATCTGTGTTCAGTGCACCTCTGAGATTGGTCTCACCAGACCTGATCTAGGTTAGACTATCTAATTAAACTTCTGTACAGTTCCCAGTGTAGCCCTAGGGCTGCAAAAGCCCAGACACTGGCCCCAGCCCTGGGGCTGTGCTTCCCTTACTCCCACCCCTGGCACTGGGCTGTTTTTAGGCCCCCTGACCCCTTTCTCAGATTGACAACCCCCCACAGACCAGCCAGTCCCCACCCCAAGCCCACCAAACTTATCATCCCACAGGCTACTCCTGGGGCCAGTTTTACTAGTGTTCACTGGTACCAGGAGCTGAGGAAGTAAATTGGGGTGGGGGGTTGGTTTGCCAGAGGAGGGTTGTTCATCTGGGGTTGGGGTGAGGTTGGGGGCTAAAAATAGCCCCTGGTCCCCAGAGGTGAGGGAGAGAGCCCCTTCATCCCCTTCAGCCTCCTTGTGGACCCTGCTGGCCCCCCTGATCCTAACAAACCCTCCTGGACCCCACCAGCAGCCCCACAGACCCCACTTGCAGCTCCTCCTATCAGGAAACAAATGCAGTGATGGATATGACCATTTACAACTTTAAATTTTAAAATTTATTTTCTTTCCAGAA